AAGACCACACAGCGGTTTAACAGGACAGGTTCCACTCAGAACAGGCCTCGCCATGGTCGACCAAAGAAGTTGAGTGCACATGCTCAGTGTCATATCCAGAGGTTGTGTTTGGGAAATAGATGTATGAGTGCTGCCAGCATTGCTGCGGAGGTTGAAGGGGTGAGGGGTCAGCCTGTCAGTGCTCAGACCATACGCCGCACACTGCATCAAATTGGTCTGCATGGCTGTCATCCCAGAAGGAATCCTCTTCTAAAGATGATGCACAAGAAAGCCAAGGAACCATGGAACCATGTCATGTGGTCTGATGAGACCAAGATAAAATTATTAGGTTCAGATGGTGTCAAGCGTGTGTGGCGGCAACCAGGTGAGGAATACAAAGACAAGTGTGTCTTGCCCACAGTCAAGCATGGTGGTGGGAGTGTCATGGTCTGGGGCTGCACGAGTGCTGCCGGCACTGGGGAGTGTTACGTCCCAGATGTAAGGGTCTAGGGTAAGGGGGTAACAGGGAAAAGTAAACATAAATTTGGTTGGGGTGAGTGAGTACCAGTCCCCTGCCCAGCACAACAGACACGTTAAGTTCCAAAAATCAAGTATTTTATTTACAAGATTTCCAAATGACAAAGTAAAATAGCAAACAAAATAGTCTTCAGGAGGGGGAAATGCCAAAACAACAAACAAAAGGACCCTCTAACTAGTTAAGGAGTAAAACTGTCTAAAGAAAATGAACAACAGAAATGTACACTAACTCCCTAACTAAGCAAAAACAAGAGAAAAAGATTAACAGAAACAAAATGGCACCCACCTCCCTACGGCTTCCAACACTGAGTAAACACGTAGCGCAACAACAACGCCAATTACTTATTAGGAAGGCTACAATAAGCCGTAACTTGAGTAAGTTTTACACAGTATCAATCTCTGACAACTATAAGAGCAACACAGGGCAGGCAAGAGGTACAGCACTCTGGAAGTCGAGCTTCAGTGTGGTCGGCATGTTGAAGAGCTTTTGAGCTTGCAGCCTCTGCACAGTAACGAGCATCAGGTGCGAGTGATCACTTCTCTCTCCTCCGCACCTGGTTGAGCAGCAGTAACACAGAGACAGAGAAAGAGCACACAGCAGTACGTAACAACCAACAATATTATATAAATAAACACGGAACGTAACAGGAGCTACAGTTCATTGACTTTTGTCTCTCATAGTTGAGGTATACCTATGATGAAAATTACAGGCCTCTCTCATCTTTTTAAGTGGGAGAACTTGCACAATTGGTGGCTGACTAAATACTTTTTTGCCCCACTGTATATATATATATATATTATCATTAATTAACAAGGAGGTAGAATATTAAGAGACTTGAAGTAAGCTATAAAGGGATGCCATTTATTGAAGAAATGACTTTTCCCAGAACATCTTACTTTTTCCAGTTTAAAAAAAAAACATGGTATCCACTAGCCATTGGGAGGTTGTTGGAGGCTTGTTAGATTTCCAGTGGAGCAGAATACGGTGCCTAGCTAACAAAGAGGTAAAGGATAAAATATCCAGTTGTTTTGAATAAAACTGAGACCAATTTTTTGGTATCCCAAAGTTTGCTATAGTATGTAAAATAATTGACCCCAAAATTTTGCAACATAAGACAAGTAAAAAACATATGATTCAAATTGCACAAAGAAGCATGACATCTATCACATCTGTCTTCAATATTAGGAAGTATTTCAGATAACCTGGCCTTGAAAAATGAATTCAGTATAGTACTTTAAATTCTATGAGGCCAAGACGTGCACAAATTGTACTACAATGTACTCTGTCCAGTGCACCCGCCCACCAGTCCTCTTCAAAAGTTTCACCCTATTCTGTCTCCCAAGCTCTTTTAATTTTGTCAATCGAACAGTCATTTAAACCTAAAATACAACCATAAATTCTCGAAATTTGTGACTTGTGATTCGGATTGAATTGCAGGAATTCTTCCCATTCTAGCCTTGGGGGCAGAGATGGGTAACTAGAAAACAAGGTAGCAGAGCAGTGTAATCTGTAAAAACCGATACAAGTGGGATTCTGACAATCCCAAATCAGAAGATAATTGTATATAGCTACAGAATGTGCCATCTCTGTACAGGTCTTGAAAACATCTCAAGCCTTTTGCATGCCACTGTTTACAGGATCAGTAAGAGAATGGGGAAACATATGATTCTCAAATAATGGCATCAAAGTTGAAGCAGAAGTAAATTTAAAGTGTCGCCTAAACTGGCACCAAATCCGAAGTGTAGATACAACTACTGGATTATGTGTAAAGGAAGCCGAAGAGACATTACAGGATAGGGGTGAAGTAAGCAAAGCTAACAGAGAGGTAGATATGCATAAATTTGCTTCCAATCTGCACCATGGTGCTCTGGACAAATTAAGCCAAAATGTTATCTTATGAATATTTACTGACCAATAGTAAAACATGAAATTAGGTAAAGAGAGCCCACCATTCAGCTGGCATCTTTGAAGCAATGACTTCCGGATTCTGGGCACTTTACCACCCCACAAAAAGTCAGTGACAATCTGGTCGATAGATTCTATTTCAGATAAACGCTGTTCTTCTGAACTTTCTAGTCAACAAAGAAACCTGAAAAAATTATACTCGGCTGTTTTCAACAAGAATAATAAATGTTTTTTGAGCAGCAAATCAGAATATTAGAATGATTTCTGAAGGATTATGTGACTGGAGTAATGATGCTAAAAATTCAGCTTTGAAATCACATTCATTTGTGTTTAAATATATTTAAAAAATGTAAAGTTATTTTAAATAGTAATAATATTTAAGAATTGTCCTGTTTTTGCTGTACTTTGGATCCATTAAATGCAGGCTTGGTGAGCAGAAGAAACTTCTTTAAAAAACATTAAAAATCTTACTGTTCAAAAACTTTTGACTGGTAGTGTATAAATATATATATTTACTTAATATTTAAAATATATTTTCCAAATGCAGGCTGCTCTTTGATAAATGCAAAAAAGCAGGGCTTTACAAACACAAGAATAGCAAAATGTATTACACCATCTAAAACCATAAAATGTATTATTTATAATTGATCAAACAATGATTATATAAAGTCTTATTTTTATATGATCAACATACCAAATAATTAATTATTCTTTGTGGTCCTCCTCCTCAACAGGTCTGTCCCGTGGAAGTCAAAGCAGTGATGAACGGGACAGCTCTGATTATGTCAACACAGACCCTAATTTACAATAACCAAGGTACTATGTAGTTCTCTAATTTTACTGTATGCGTGTATGTTGATATATTTTAGATTGTCCATTGCAGTGTTTCCCAACCTTTCTTTAGTCGCGGCACCCTTTGGAAATTTTAACGAACTTGTGGCACCCTACAGAATTAATTTTGTCACAATATTTGAATTTCTAACTTCGATATGATACTTTGAAAAGTGTAGATATTCGGTACAACAGGGAAGAACTGCAGAATATAATGTCATACAGATATTTTTTATATTATTTTAAAAATGAGTCCATCAATCAGTAGGCTAATTTCTAATGAAGAGACCAATTTATATGACAGATTTTAATGTAGGCTTTTGTACATATGTAAACATTATTTAATTACCATTATAACTAGCTATCTAACAATATTAAAACGTAATATCTCACAAATTTTTGCTCACTCAGTGTTTTTTTTATTTTACAGTGGGGTAATTTTGGTGCAGTAGCACGAGATAGCTTGATTTCAAACTTTGAATTGAATAAAAAATGACAAGTAAGCAGTCAGTAATAAAATAAGAACAAATAAAGAAATTAATGATAGCACAAATAAAAAATAAGGACAGGCCTTCAAATTAAATAAATTGCTTTTTAATTTTTCAGGTAGGTCTAACAGTAGGGTTAAGATATTTTAAAAAAATATATTTTTTTACCAATTATCCAAATAATGTTTAGTCCTAGAAAGCTATTATCATCAGAACACGTGAGCATAACGGTTAGCAGATCAATGAACGAGAGGGTAGCGTTACCAGAGTTGCCCGTTTACCACACCATGTTACAGCACAGTAGGGCTACTGCAGACAGAAACAATACTGTACTACATTGATGTTTCCTGTCAGCTCAATTTTTGAGTGGACGTTGCTGTTCCGATGAGCATGAACGGTATATGAGTGGAGCACTCACATGGGCCGTGAGCGACTGAGTGGAGCACACACATAGAGCGGGATAATACACAGAGCGTCACACCACGTGAAAGTGTATCCTGAGAGGTGATCTAATTTTCGGCAGCCGGAATTTCAGTGCATCTCTAATTACTGGCGACATCAGAAATGGATATTATATAATGGCTGCTTTTTTGAACATTTTAGCAATTTAAAAATATTTTTTTACACGGCACCCCTGGTTGGGAAACACTGGTGCATTGAATGGAAGAGAGAGAGAAAAAAAAATCTGATTCCATTTTCCTTTTCTTCAGGATTTGCCTTTTACCAAATAATGACAGTTAACAAGGTCAGACCTAAGAACCATCCTGACTGCCAGAGGAGTTTTCAGATTTACCTGTGCTTTGAATTTTGAAGTGCATCACCAAGAAAGCTTTGAACCATCATCACCTCCGAAAACTTCCTCCCTCAGTCCTTATGACAAATTTGCTGACGAAACCTGAGAATGTTTTTTTTTATTTTTTATTAACATTTGCTGTTTACAGTGTACTGCATCCAGGCTTTTACTTTCAAATATATGAACTTCTTTTTTTTGACTCTGCCATGTAATATATAGCTTTTTGTCATTAAAATGAATAAACATGTTAGCTATTGGTTTGTAAATGGCTACATAAATTTTACAATAAAAGATTTACAAATCATATGGTGTATGGTGCTACAATATGAATAGAAATTGTAATTATGGCTGAAATTTAGCGAATGCCAGCAGTAAAGATCAACTCCGAGAATAACATTCAAAACACATGAGACAAAAGGAGTTTAAAAATTTATTTTTTATACACTTTTTTTTTTTTTTTTTTTTTACCATTTATTATTTGCTTATTTAATAAGGGGGTTGAGGACAAAGAGAGAGGTCATTGTATTTTTTATAAAAATGTCCCTCATTCTTTCCATTTTTGATCTGTCTTACACGCTCACTCGTTCCCTCTTTCTGCATTAGACACTATGTGCCCCCGTCCACTCAAATTTTTAAAAAAAGGAAAAAAAAAAAAAAAAACAATAAAACAAGCACATTCAGTCTTGCCAGAGGTATCTAAAACAAAATCTGTTCAGTTGGATTTTATGTACAAACGAATATGCGATCACAGGAGATCCAGATGGGGGCGCTCTGTCACTCTGTGGTGATCCGCACAGTTTCAGTCTCAGCCGCTCTGTCAGTTTCCAGGAGGGTGGAATGGAATCTGCTGGGAAGGATGAGCCTGCACTGACACTGATGGGAGCAGAGAAACACACCAATTAATCATTTGTAATAAAACAAATTAAAAACTGAATAGTAAAAGTAATACAAATAAAATCTTGGTAAACGCATTTGCACAATGCTGTATTTTAAATGTCAATTAGATCTAATTCTGTAAGCTTGTAGCTTTTAGGACACAAATTACTTGACTGCAAACAAACAAACATTAGTTTTTTTGTTTGCAAGAAACTCACCCTGAGGTGGTCCAATGTAGGTGTAGTGCTGGTGGGGTCCCTGCTGGGGTGGAGGATGCCCATGCTGGGGGCCAGAACCCTGCTGAGGGGGTGGTGGGGCATGAAGCAACATCACAGGTGGAGGACCGTGACCTCCTGAGTGGTGAGGACCCGAGAGAGCATGGGTCTGAGAGAGAAAGAGGAAAAAAAAAAAAGCGTAGAAAATTAATGCAAAAATAGGTAAGTGTATAAATTTTTTATTTTTTACTAAAATGGTTGACCGAACACTTGGTAATGATTCAGATGCAGGGTTCCTACATATACTGCAAAATGACATTCCAGGACTTAAGGTCTTTCAAACAATATTGTTATCTTTCAAATAATAATAAATAAACAAAAAATAAAATGGTACAAATAAAAGTGCAGCACAAGCAAAGCATGCAATGACTGTGGCCACTTTAACATTTGAAAGGATACTATGGCAAAGTTATCACTTTCCTTTTATTTTATGAATACACAATTTAGCGTATGAATGAAAGCTATATCATACACTAGGGGTGTGACAAACAGCTCATGAGCTGGGACAAAATACAGAGACTTGGTTCACTAGAACGAGATAATATTTTAATATTATTTTAAAGAAAGTTTCAATTACAAAACATTTGTCGTTTAATCACAAAATGCAAAACAATGCGGTTGTACTTTTGAAATGTTTAACTAATCTAGGGCCGTAACTAACAATTATTTTGGTAATCAAGTAACCTACTGATTATTTTGACAATTGAGCAATCTGGCTTTAGTATGACTATTTATATATAAACTAACGATGAGGCAATCATAATTGGTTCAAATAAAATATCAAAACCAAGTAATTACATGGGTTTATTGAACAACACTGTTAAAATACAATGTAATATGCCTATATATAATAATGAACATAACCAACTTAAAGTCCGCGTGAACCGGAAGTTGCTGCTGACTTTCAGTATGGTGACGTATATCCACCTGAAACAGAATATTGAGTAGAGGGCGGGGTTTTATTTTTGAGCTCCTCCTCATCTTTCACTCGCAGCAAACTAACGGTTGGAGGGGCGTGGTGAAGCAAATTCTGCCCAAGCGGTCAAACTGACCTCATCAGAGCAGGAGCGCCATTCCGGAGCGGAAGCAAAAAATCTGATTTTGATTAAAGGTTACCAAGACAATTTTTTTTTCAGAGGATTAACTTGCATGGATTAATTTTTTACCTTAAGACTAACAATGTGCAAAAATAAATATGGTAAATTTTGATTTCATGCGGACGTTAAGTACATTATGTATTATAACAAACACCTGCAGAGGGTGCAAACAGCAAAAAGTGCTGGTGATGTTTCACTTTACAGCGTGATTCAATGACGTTTAAATCCATTTAATTTTAATGTTTTGGACACAAGCAAACTCAGAGCAACTTTTATTTTGAAATCGCTATGTACAACAAATCGCATATTTAGAAATATGTTGATGTATTCTCCTGTGTTGGCATAGGTTTATAAATGATTTATATTACATATCTAGAGAGATAACGCACACTGTTTTCCCAGATGAACGTTAAGCAACCCAAACTCACAGCATATGCAGAGGAAGAGTTTGTCGACCGAGCTGCTGAGATGGAGACGTGCACCACGCTTGTAAATGATAACAGTGCAACACAAAGTGCGTCAGACTTTATACGCGTTCCCAAATGAAACCCAAACAAACAGCACATGCAATAAAAGACCAAACAATATAATGCAAGCTTGGCATATGATGGTAAGAAATTTTCATGTTGCAATTAATTGCTAATGCTTTTATCACGGTATAACGGTATTATCACGAAATAGAAATTTAGTTGCAAAAACTGTGGTCAAACTATAACAGGCTTAATACATTTTTTTAGGGATGCACGATATTAAATTTTTGCCAATATCAGATATGCCGATATTTTTCAACTCATTTTGGTCGATAGCCGATGCCGATATATTTCCTTTTGTTTGGAAACAACAGCAAGTCTCTCCTGTGCAGAAATTATAAGCAAATTCTTTTTAATTTTGGTTAGTTTTTAACAAGAACTTATTTGTTAGAATTAAATAAACAATAATGAAGTTCTTTTATAATGACAGTACATTGAAGATTTGAAAATAACTATAAATAAACTATATTCAATCTCTGCATTTTTTTTCCAGAAACATGCAGTGGTAACCTTAATATTTTATTTTAAGACTTAACATTTGTAAATGGTCTAAAGCAAGAGAGTTAAAGTAAAGAGTAAAAATTCTGAAAATCTTTTAGAGCTCATAATTGGTTTAAAAAAAATATAACCTATTACACATTAATGAATAAATCAGTGTATATAAAATTTAAGTGTCATGTTTGTGATTTGTTATTTTTTGTTAATGTAAGCTATAGCGTCTGACCTTTAAATCAAAACATACTCGATTTTATGGCATCAATTACTGCTTTATTTAATCAGAAACAGTCTAAATATTATTTGTGTATTTTGCATTAATTTTATTAGAAGTAGGCCAACAGCGCCCCCTACGGAATTAACCCTATACCGAATGGGGATTAGGACCCGGTGGAGGCTGCAAGTGCCATTACGGTTTACTCTATCATACACCGAAGACGTTATTCTGTACATGCTTTCTCAGTTTAAATGCAGCGATCCAAAACAGTGAATCTAATCATCATTCAGGCAAAACTTTGCATCAAGAATGAGCCACACTGCTGACATGATCTAATCGCTAGCACACCCCGGACACATGTGAGTTAATGTATTCCTCTTATCGGCAAGACATATCCGCATAATTTTTCATATCAGGCCGATATTTACATTTAAAGCCATTTTTGACCGATTCCGATATTGGTCCGATAATATAGTGCATCCCTACATTTTTTTTTATAACAAAAAGAACTGAACATTTACATACAATAAATACACAAAAAAATTTCACACAGATTCAAGTGCAAAAGATTAACACTTTACAATATGATCTCATTACTTAATTCATTAATAATTAATAATGAGCAATAGCTAAATTTTCTACTGAAGTTATTAATCTTTGTAAAAAAAAAAAACTGCTGTTAGTTCATTAAATAACACCGTTGCATTTTGATTTTAACAACGTGTTATTAAATAATGAAATAACCCAAGATTAATGAATGTTTAGAAGAATTTTTCATTGACAATTTATGTTAACTAATTAATTAACTAATGTTAATTAATAGAGCCTTAATGTAGCCTAAAGTGTGACCAAACAATAAAGAATCAAAACATTTTCAAAAATGATCTAGGGCATGTTATTTTGTTAAATTAGGGCTGTGCAAATATAATCGGTTCAGATTCATAATCGCAGGCGATACGTCGCTGATAATGAACGCGATATATTGCGTAGCTTGTCAGTGAACTACGGCTCGGTGTAATAAATGCTGCTCCATCTGAAAGCACGTGATGGGAGATTTACTACTAATCACAGAACCGGCTTTACTGACGAGATGCGCATGATAAAATCGCATTCGATTATTTGCACAGCCCTAATTCATTTTTAAAAAAGTTTGAAAATAAATAGCCTATTAAGTCTAAATATTTAAGTATTTGGTACTGTGATGAACACCACTGTGAATACAAAAATCTGAATGACTGTTTAAACCATAGATATGCATCTATGGTTTACCATTTAAATAAGTTTTTAGGAAGTAGTGCAGCTGCTTTGTTTATGGGAAGTCGCCACGAATGGCTAGAGTCGGACTCGTAACCCAAAGGTTGCAGGTTCCAGTCTCGTACAGGCAGGGATTGTAGGTGGGGGGAGTGAATGTACAGCACTCTCTCCCACCTTCAATACCATGACTGAGGTGCCCTTGAGCAAGGCACCGAACCCCCAAATGCTCCCCGGGCGCCGCAGCAAAAATGGCTGCCCACTGCTCTGGGTGTGTGCGTGTTCACTGCTGTTTGTGTGCACTTTGGATGGGATAAATGCAGAGCACTAATTCCGAGTATGGGTCACCATACTTGGCCACATGTCAACGTCACTTTCACGGTCACTTTTTCACTTTCACTGGGTTTCCAGGGTTGCATTTCTGCGGTTCAGCGCCATCTGCTGTCAGAGTGAAAGTGCGCTTTCATTCAGCGTGTCTCCTTCACGTGTTCTGCCATGCACTTCTCATCTGTGCTTGTTTACATCAGAGTGCGCATGCGTCTTTTACGCAGCACACAGCGGTGTTGTGCATTGTGACCAGTTGGAGAAAATATTCTTAAAATGCATTAAAAAAAAATCTGAATAATTTGTTTTAAATAATTATTCATTGTATTTTGAAGTGCCCACGGTAACAATATCGTGCATATTCATTATCGTGATATATCGCATTACCGAATACCAGCACATGTCTAATGCAAGCACTATCAAAGGATATCGCGAGACCGCTTTTCACCTCAAGGAGTAATAATCGCAAGATCTCTAGCACTCCCAAAAGCCGGGAGAAATGGTATTTTACACGTGCAGCATTGATAATTTTGCGTAAAAAGATTGTTTTTATCGAAAACAAAAATGAACACTAATTTCATATATACTGCCTTTTAAAAATTCAAGTACTTTTTAAGTACCTTATCATAAATATGGCTGTTTTCAAGGGTTTTCCAGGGCTTACATTTTCAAAAAGTCAAATTCAAGTACTTCAAACACTTTAAGCACCTTGTACGAACCCTGCAGATGTTTAACCCGCCTGTTATGCCTTACTTTGTTGGGTCCTCTGGGACACCAAACATAAAAACAGTAATATATTATTCTATGAATTATTAAAGTAATCCATCTTATTTTTGTTTATCCCAGTCACATTTCTGAACTGCACTGATGTGGAGGTGTTTTGTGCGAGGTTTACGGTCATCACCTGTGTCAGCTGTCCTAGAGAGGAGTAGGGGTGAGGCAGGGGCTGGTGTCCTGGTAGGCTGTAGCCCTGAAGGGAGTAGGAGGCCTGTGGCGAGCTGTGTCCTGGGGGCAGGTTAGGGGGCGTGGGGGCTGACAGCGGACCAGCGTGATACAAAGACTGAGGCTGAGGACCAGACTGACCAGACTATAAAAAGAAGTCAATACAGTACAATTATTGAGAGCTTGTGAAATTTTAGGGGATCTCTTGTAGAAGTATTTAGAGAAAGTTCTGGCGGATTACGTACCTGTCCTGGACTGGGGGCGGGGTGTTGAGGGGGTGGCTGGCTGCCTGTGGGGGTGCTGGAGGGTTGAGGATGATGGATGGAACCAGAGTGATGAGAGAATGACTGTGGAGCTGAAGAAGAAAGAGAGAGAGAGAAAACCGTTGATAACACTGTGTGAATATATATATATATATATATATATATATATATATATATAATTCTTGTACAATGAACTAAATCCAGTCTACGATGAAAAAAAAAATCCTTACCATACATCCCCTGCTGAGGGCCTGGTGGTCCTTCAGTTTGACCAGGGTATTGGGGGCCTGGGGGACCCAGAGTCTGTGGGTGCCCTCCCGATCCAAGCATTCGTGGTCCACCCTGGAGCATAGAATACATCTAGGACAGAGAGAGAAACAACAGTTTTTTTTTTTTTTTTAAAAGAAAAGACAATTAACTTAATTTAAAACAAAATCTGCTTGTTTGAAAATATACTAGAATCATGTGTTCTACTGAAAACGTGTGGGCTGGTACCTGTCCAGGGTAGTGGGACATTGCTTGTATGACCTGGTTGTACTGCAGATACGAGGGAGGGTAAGGAGACGCCACCAGAGGAGGTCCTGCAGCTGATGCCGCAGCCTGGATCATAGGTGGCGCTGAAGAGCTGTGGTCTGGACGAGGAGTCACCACAGAACCTGAGACAGGCAAAGAAAGTAACAGGAGTAATAACCCTGCGGTCTAATGTTCATACTATCCATCCTAAATAGTATGTGAGATTAGAATAAGTGCCAAAGCATAGTATGTTTAAAAAGAGTATGCCAAAAGTCTACGGTTGGTCTCCTATATACTATTACACACTCTGATGGCTATAGGCCTTTATCAGTCCCCATGTCGTCACATCCGGCTCCAATTAGTAGCGCAAAAGAATTCCAGACTAATGGACAGACACCAGTTTGTGAAGAAAATTAAAATAATTTAGTTGGACTTAGTCATAAATGTCAATATTTAAAACTGTTTATTTATACTGATGCCCTACCATGCATGTCATCCTTTATTTTAATATGTAACATTATCTGATCGACGCGATGGTCAGCGTCATAAGATGCTAAAGTTACTCCAAGAGAAATAATTGGACTGATTTAAATTCATTTTTAAAGGGTTAGCTCACCCAACAATTCTGTCATTAATTACTTTCCCTCGTGTCATTCCAAACCTGTAAGACCTTCGTTCCGCTTTGGAACACAAATGAAGATATTTTTGATCAAATCTGAGAGCTCTCAGACCCTCCATAGACAGCAAGGATATTACCACGATCAAGGCACAGAAACGTAGCAAGAACATCGGTAAAATAGTCCATGTGTCATCAGCAGTTCAACCGTAATTTTACGAAACTACAAGAATACTTTGTGCGCAAAGAAAAAAAACTACTTTATTCAATTCTTCTCCTCCCCATTCCATCTGTTGCGGTGCGCCGCCATTGTGGAGAGTACCACGACACATGCGCTTACTTCTGGTTCATGTAAACAATGCATGTGTGTGTTCAATGTAAGCAGCGGCACCACGTGCATGCATTGTTTACATGAAGCTGAAGCAAGCGCAGGTATCGTGGTTAGACATGTGATGGTATTCGGTAACGCGATATATCACGGTAATAAATATGTACGATATTGTTATCATGGGCACTTGAAAATACAGTGAATAATTATTTATTCCAAATTATTCCGATTTTTTTAATGCGTTGTATGCTGCGTGAAAAACGCATGTGCTCTCTGATGTAAACAAGCACGGATGAGAAGCGCATTGCGGAACATGTAAAGCAGATGCTCCGGATGAAAGCCACATTCACTCTCTGACAGCAGATGGCACTGAAGAGCAGAAATGCAGTGTTACCCCGGAAACCCCTTAAACAAAGCAGCTGGCTACTATCTAAAACGTATTTAAATAGCCATCCAGATTTTTTAATTCACTATGGTGTTCATCACAGTGGCAAGTAGCCTACTTAAATATTTAGACTTAAAGGGGTCCTATTATGCTCTTTTACAAAGTCTTGATTTTGTTTTGGGGGTGTACTAGATCAGGCTCTCATACTAGGTTGTTCGAAAAACACATTATTTTACATTATTACAACACCTCTCTCCCCAGTCGGGCATGAAAGGCTCGAATGGTTCCTGCATCAAATGAAGGCCCGCCTTCTGAAATACGAAATGTGCTGTGATTGGTTAGCTGGGCCAGTGTGTGCTGTGATTGGCAGCACTCGGCACCTGGTCGGGAAATGCCATGCCCCTTACAATAGCCGCCTGCGAGCTTCAGTGTAAATATTGAGTCAAAATTAAATCAATTTGAGCGTGATTTAAACCTGGATGATTGTAACCACTCTTAGTTCGTCTGCTTTGGGCAAGCTAGCACATCTCTGACAGTGATAACACTCGTTGCCTTCTCTAGTGCAGCTCAACCAGGTCTCTTTCGTCGATCTTTGTGATATCACAAATCCCGGAAATTATGCGTTGTAGTCCAAACGAGTCATTCGTTGTAGTTTTTGAAAAGTGATTTCTGTTAAATAAAATATCGCTTTTTGAAGTGGACTGAGCTTTGTAACTTTGTAATGTTGCTGTTTGAGCATAAAAAAAGATCTGCAGACTAACTAAAGTTGAGAAAATTAAAAAGCATAATAGGACCCCTTTAATAGGTATTTTCAAACTTGTTTTTACATTTTAATCTGGATTATAACAAGCCCTAGATATTGTTTGAAAATGTTTTGTTTCTTTATTGTTTGGTCACACTTTACATTAAGGCTCTATTAATTAACATTAGTTAAACTGCCAATGAAAAATTCTTCTAAACATTCATTAATCTTCGGGAATTTTAATATTTAATAACACGTTGTTAAAATCAAAAGTTGCAACGGTATTATTTAATGAACTAACAGTTGTAATTTTTAACAAAGATTAGTAACTTCTGTAGCAAATGTAGCTATTGCTCATTATCAATGTTAATGCATTAACTAAGGTTAACTAATGAGATCTTATAGTAAAGTGTTACTTTTTGGTCTTTATTATTCTTTTGCACATTAATCTGTGTAAAATGTTTTACTTTATACATATTTTGTGTATTACTTTATTTTAGCTATGTAAATGTTCAGTTCTTTTTGTTACAAGAAAAAAAAGTAATTAAACCTGTTATATGTTATGACAACACTTGACAACTAAATTTCAATACAGTGATAATACCGTATACCGTGATAAAAGCATTAGCAATTAATCTCAACATGAAAATTTGATACCGTCATATGCATAGTCGTGATACTCTCTCCACAATGGCAGCGCACTGCAGCAGATGGAATGAGTAGGGTTGAATATCGTTTGAATTTGATCAATTCCAATTCCGATTCTGCTTATCGATTCCGATTCTTTTCGATTCCCAGTTCCGATTCCAACGTGATTAAATAACGATATCAAACATTTATCCGGTGTCTTTTTTTTGCAAACCATTTAGTTGCAGCTGAATACCATGAACAAAAATCAACAGGCTACATAAAAACTGGACTCTTTAAGAGTTGTTTGTGTGCAAAATAGAGCTGCATGATTCTGGATACATTTATTTATTTATTTTCCCCAATGGAAGTTGTGGTTCTCTCATGATTCTGAAGAAAAAAAACCAGACAACTAGACAATCACATGTAATTTATGAATGAATGATTCAATGACTCACTCAAGATGTACTTGATTCATTACTAGATGAATCCGTGTTCTTGAACGAATCTCTTGTATGATTCAAAGACAAATACATTTTAACTGCCCCTTTTCGCAAACCTACTGGCGTAACAATGTAATCGATAAACCTTCATTTGAAGAGTCAAATTACTTTCAAAAGGTGATTTACTCCATTTTAATCGCTACCATACACATCGTACACAGTTCAGATTTAGTTTATAGTTCAGATATAAACTATTTATCCCAGTACTTCTGTGATTTGAATGTTTGTAACACAGAAATAATGATACTGTGTGACTGAAAAGACTGTGAAGCCGTTTCATTCATGACAGACTGCTCTCTTTAGGTCAATGACAGTGCGAACGCAAATTTAAATGTTCAAATCACACTGGTGTGATCGTACTCTGCCCGGACGAACCAAGTGATCACAACATTGATCTCAAACGTCAAAGGTTGAGGAATGAAACCGACGAAACCATTGTAATTTAGGAACAGAATCACGTTGGTGTTTGAATCATGTTCGTGATCTTTAACAATCTACTAAATTAACGTTCTTTGTCATGTTGGTGGTGACACCTCTCTTGCAACATGTTTAGCTATCACAGATATTATACTTAGCTTTTTTGGCTTCTGATCACAAATGTAGCAAAACTTTGGACATCCTATGCATCTCAAGTTTTTAAATGAAGAAAGTACTCTTTGTGATTGGTTTTCGGTCCTTTGTATTGAACTATACATACATGCATGATGCCGTTTTGCCGATAATAGTTTAAGCAACTTTCATTATATAAGGTTTATAAACATTATTTAAAACATTATGCACTTTTTCAAAGATAGTCATGTTATTTTATTATGCTTTGAAGAAACGTGCATAATATTTTGCTCTATGCGCCCCCTTGTGGCCTCAGAAATTATGCCTTTTAAATTTGAATATTGATCATATTTAAGTACAAAATTCAAATTTAGTTTTTCAGGCATTTTGACAGACCTAGTTACCATTAATAGATCATGTGTGAACAGGACCTTTTCAGAAATTCCGGTAAATGTGTTCTGGCAATCATATCGTTTTATGGAGATGACATGAGTACTCCGAGCGGTTTACAAAGCTCCGCTACTTTTTAATTAGTTATTCTATGTAAATATGCGCTAGATGGACATCTTTGACCACTGTGCCTCGCAGCTTTTTGTCGCGCTTCTCCATTCATCAGGGCTGCGACTCTGCAATTGGATAGACTACTATTTTGAGCGTATTATGCACACTATTTTTTTCCGCAGCCAAATGCTGCACGCCAGAGATCCGGCACGGTGCCGGAGAACTTTAAGCCCTGTGCACAATAGCTTTTACACAGCACAAGCCTGATTTTGTGAGCTGTATGCGAGGTGGCCTTTTACGCAAGGTTCACACATACTTCGTTTGCAATGCAGTCCATGTGTGGTAAGCGGTGCAGAAGCAGCAGGTGTTCACTGTGCTTTCACACAGGAGTCTGAAACTGATCCATGGCTGTTTACTACAAACACAACATTTATCCATTATTTTGATTTCAAATCCAAACATTGTTACTGAAAATGCTTTTTCAGCACTGTGATTCTTTTTTTTTACACAGTACAGTAATACAATCTTTCATAGACGTGTTTAAACGCAATAAATATAAGAAACATTATTCAATGCTTTATACTCTTGCATTTACTTCTAGATTGATATATTAAGTTGCCCAAGCAAGTGGCAAAACATTTATACTATTTCTTACATTATCACAAACATTCTAAATTAAAACTTACCATTGACAGAAAAAGTCAGCTCTACTGCCTTTTCTTTTGCATTTAAATCTTTATTACAAGCAATCCTGTGGTTCATAAAGAACTTTGTTTTCCTACATCCCACGAGTGCCATCAACTATTGCCTACGTTTTCGTTTTCATATTTACCGCAAACAATGCGCTGTCACTTTAATTCAGCGCATGCAACGGAAACGATCTCTGCACTGCTGCAGATGCACCGCTCCTTGAACACACTGCCGGACCGCAACCGTGTACAGTGTGAACGCTTTAATCCGTTAACATGAGCGCAGAAAAAATATCCACCTCATACACACTGCAAACGGAGTAATGTGAACCTGGCATTATGTGCGTGCGCATGAGCGCACAGTCTCCAGAAGAACGCGCGAGTGCCAAATCGTTTAAACACTGGCAAGAATTAAAAAGAAATGCAATTTATAAACTTTAATGACGATGCAACACTGCTGCGATTGTGCAAGTGACAATTCCTGTGTCAACTGTGCAGTGTGCAGCTCGCTTAAAGTGCAGACGACTTAGTGACAGTAAAGTTGTGACAGGCCAGTTTACACTGACAGGGTGCGTGTAACTATGCGACAGAGTGGTCTGTTAAAGATGCAATTGCATGACGTGATAGTATGTCCCAAACTTGCCTACTCTTCTACTACACACTCAAGTGTGTACTTTATCCTCACCTAAAGAGTACATAATTTAAGTAGGCACACTGGGATGCAGCATGACACACGTACCATGAGTAGATTGCAAAACAGGGCCTGAAAATCTTATTTTAAACGTTTTCAAGTTACGATTTTATTAAATAATAAACAAACAAAAAAAATTCAAATTAAAACTTCAATAACAAAAGTATTTAAAATGTCATGCCCTGCCGTTTAATAATAATAATAAGCATTTAAAAGGTTTCAGCCCCTATTATTGTTGTTAATATCTATGTAAACTAAATACAGAAAAGGTCAAAGTTTATGCAAGTATCAATTACATCATTAGTAAAACCAATAATTAAACAAGCATAAAAATTTTTTTTTTAAAAACCTGTCTTTCTCTTTATTTATTCCTTCCCTTTTTAGCTTCTACTTATTTGAACAATGCCTAGAACTTGGTATTACAAGCACATCCGTTGTCTGTTTGCCTCTTTAAGAAGAATCGCTTTATGTATTACCCAATTGTCGCTAAGTCGCTATGGATAAAAGCGTCAGCAAAATGACTAAATGTAAATGTAATGTAAATGCATTACCTTTGGTTCTTTGGTACTTCCCTTGACTGACAGTTGTCATGGGATATGGGTACATTTGAGGTGCCTAATAAAAGGAGAGAGGAAGAAAGAAATTCAATTTGCAAACCATTCTATAAAACTCTTGAATTTTGTCTAAAGTTATGAGCAGCAGGGATAGAGACCTGTACAGAATGGCCCTGTATCTGTATGGGTGAGACATAGCTCAGGTACTGAGTGTTGTAAATGGCCCCCTGGCCTGGCGGGGCCTGCAACACCACCGTGGGGCTGGGCGGAGTTGGCCGTGGCGGGGTGGGAGTGGCTGAGGGCTTCACCTGCAAAGAAGACATGACAACTTGGCTTAGCACATTTAACAACTATATAAAAAAAACTTAATAGGGAAAAAACAGTGCTCTTACCATGCTGAGAGGAGCCTTGGTGGGGTTAAACTCTTTGGCGTTGGGGTTGAGTGTAGATTTCTTCACTTGACTGTGTCGGAAAACATTATGAATTGCATTAATTACCAACATACTTAATATGCTACATACTAGTAGCTGTCAGTTGTGACTTATTTACTAACTAATGTTCTACTCACTCAGCCATGCCCTCTGGTCTCTCAGAAGCCTCGGGTTTGCCCTCCTCACTGCCTGGGGTCCTTGCAGGTTGGGGCGTCCCTGATGTTTGCCCTTCCGCAGTTGGATTTTGCATGGCAGGGCCAGACAGGGCAGAGGGTGCAGAGATGGGCGTGGATGGTGGAGGGGTGGTGGTCGCCACCCCCTCAGCATTTGTCTCTCTACTTCTCTCCTCTGCTGGAAGCTCTGTGGTCTGAGTTGAGGGCGGGGCTGTTTTAGCTTCTGTTAGAGGGGCAGGGTCTGTTTGTGTATTGTGGGCGGGGTTTGCTTGAGCAGAGTCAGTGGTCGAAGTTTTGGAGCTGGAAAGGGTGGAGCTAGATGGAAGCTAAAATCAGAAGAGGGGGGAAAAAAAGCATTTAAACTATAGTTTATACTGTATTTAACTATATTAATACTATAAACATTTTTTAAAGACTTGTTTATTGTTATATGCCATCAAAAAGCCAAACAGTCTGCATTTAAAAATATGCAACGACTTAACGGCTTTAGTGTGGGAAAGAACTACATTCTCATGAATGACAACCGAATTAAAAACAATGGTAAAATAATAAAACATTCATTTTAAGTTGTTGATTGTTGATATCTATAGAAATAATATTGAGTAGGGCTGTCAAATCGATTAATCATGATTAAATCGCATCCAAAATAAAAGTTTGTGTTAGCATAACGTGTGTGTACTTATATAAATCACATACAGTGGGTACGGAAAGTATTCAGACCCCCTTAAATTTTTCACTCTTTGTTATATTGCAGCCATTTGCTAAAATCATTTAAGTTCATTTTTTTTCCTCATTAATGTACACAACACACCATATTGACAGAAAAACACAGAATTGTTGACATTTTTGCAGATTTATTAAAAAAGAAAAACTGAAATATCACATGGTCCTAAGTATTCAGTCATGTTTAACTTTATAAATTTTTTGTGTATTGTTTTATTGTATTTAAATGTTCAGTTATTTTTGTTATAAGAAAGAAGTTATTGAACCTGGCTGTTATACTGTATTATGACAACACTTTTTTTGCAAGTAAAGTTCAATATCGTGATAATACCGTGATAAAAGCATTAGCAATTAATCGCAACATGAAAATTTGATACCAGCATTTCCCTAAAATATACACACAGTAGACACATTATGCAAACAAACTTTTATTTTGGATGCGATTAATCAATTTGATGTCCCTAATTTTGAGTTTTTTGCAAGATATGTGCATATATACATATCACAGCTCTCTGACTGGTGGAATTTTCTACATTGGCAATGTCGTTTTCACCAGAAATTCTGCTGTTAAACAATTTAAAAAATAAGTTTACATAAATAACCCAACTGTTGCACCGTATGGAGTTCTGGGTTGTTCCCAGTGCATTACTAGGTGCTTGGCAGGCCGTTGTTAGGGTGTTAGGAGTGATTGTTAGGGCATTACTAGTGGTTGCTTACTGGCTCAACAAATCAAATGAGATCAACCACTTCCAAAAATCTATTATTCTGGCTTAATTAAAAAATATAAATAAAAAAAAAGACTATGATGCTTACCCTAAAAGCATTACCAAACTTGCGAAGCTCCTCGAGGTTTGATCTCGGCTGGACTGAAGGGACTATGAAAAAAAAGAGAAGAACACTTTTAGCTAAATGAAAAGCACATATAGTGAAATTACTGAAAGTGTAATACAACTTCAGGATTACCTTTGCTGCTCTTGCCCTCCTGAGGACTAGCTGGACTCTCCATCCTTTCCTTTGACAGGATTTCATTCACTAAAGTGTAAGGAAGAGAGTCAAGATAGTTGGACGCATTTACAATTAACAGTGTGTAACCACTCAAATTTGTAACAACATCTCACCATCTACAGGGAACAGAGGGGTGGGGCCAGTGGGTTTGGAGGTCACCATAGTAACTGAAGAGGTATCCAAATAGGTAGGATTAGCCAGAGGAGGGTCCTGGGAAGGAACATCTGGTTTAGGGGAACGAGAGACTGGAGAGAGAGAGAGAAAGGTAATCATGTTAATTTAAGAAAAAAAAAAAATAGGGAATAGAGGTTGGAAATGCACTGTATCCTTTCAATCATTTTTAATTCATGAAGGATGCATTTAACTGATCAAGAGGTGACAGACAACTATAATGTTACAAAAGACTTCTATTTCAAATAATTATCTTGAACTTTATATTCAAGGAAACCTTAAAAAAAAGTATCACAGTTTCCACAAAAATATTAAGCAGCACAACTGTTTTGAAGAAGAAAGAAGAAGAAGAATTTTTTCAAAGAAACAACTACTACGGTTTCTTGATCACCAAATCATCATCATATTGGAATGAGTTCTGGATGATCATCTAGACTGGAATAATGGTAAATTACATCTTAAAATACAAAACAGTTATTTTAAACTACTAATTTGACAATATTACAGTTTTTACTGTATGTTTGATCAAATGCAACCTTCTTACAGACTTCAAACTTTTTAAAAGTACAGTATAACATTAAAAAAAAGACCTGTGACAAATGGATTGGCTAACAAATAATCTTATTACAATATTAATATTATATAACTGAAATGAGCATAATTCAATTAAAAGGGAATAAAATCGCTGCTGAACTATGAACAAACACTTGAAGATCTTACTAAATTGCATATAGCAAGTAATACAATAAAAAGGTGTTCATTACTAACCCACTGTAAAATATAAAGTGTACAACAACGGACAAGATTAAAAGCTGAAGATGATCCTGCGTTTACTTCAAGCGTCAAATAGACCACAAAGCTTGGTTGAATGTGTGAGTCTATTGTGTGCATAGGTGTAATTTAACCTGTAGGGGAGGAGTGAGAGTTTGAGGTACGCAGGTTTCTGTTGGTCTGTCCAGGCCTTTGAGACTTAGGTGACATTCTGGATGACACTATAAGAGATTGATGCAATGTTCATTAAAACACAGGGCGGCAATCATCACAAACATCAAAAGTGACAGGTCTCTTGTGCGCGCACACACACACACACACACAACTTACCTCCATTGACAGGCCTGGCCGAGTCTGAGAGAGACTGTGGGTGTGAGAGCGAATGTGGGAGTGCGTGTGGGGAAGGAGGGCTGGAGTGACCCGGTTCTGAGGGGCGGGGCTGTGTAGGCGGGCTGCTCTGTGATTGGTGTGCAGAGTATCCTCCTCTGACGGACAGAGGGCTGCTCCTATCAGTGGGAGGAAGGGTCTGACCACTACCAGAGGGTAGGGGTCTAGGTGAGGAGCTTGAGGGGCCGGGTCTATTTGCTCGATTAGGCAGGGTGGATACAGCTCCTCCTCTTTCGCCCCTTCCAGAAACTCCCATTTCTCTCTCCCTTGCCCTCTGCGGTAGAGGAATGTACTTGCCCTCCCTAAAAAAAAAAAAAAGGAAAAAAAAGACAGACAGCAGTGATCTTCAGTATACCAAAGGAGAAAGACTAGATGAGATGGTGATGAAAAGAAAGAGAAAGACTGTTTTGAACCTGCTCCCAGCACTGGAGAACCCAGGGCTATCTCTTCCTCTTTCTCCTCCATCACGGTCTCTGTCCCGAAGCACAGCACTGTATTTGTCTTCCTCGGTTCGTCCCTCTTCATTCTCCAGCGCCACCCGGTAGCGATACTGCAGACTGCCCTCAATCTCACTGGCCAATCGAGCGGCCCGAGCTTCTCGCTGTCTGAAGCCCTCAGAGCTGCCCCGCTCCAGAGGAACCCTAAAAGAGACAGGCAACAGAACGTGATGTTTACTTGATTTCTTTGAGCAGGATCGGAGCAGTTTTTAAAAAAATCTTATTTAAGACCTGCGCATATTCACAGGCGCATTCTGTGACTTCAGTAAACAAGGCTTTGTTACGCCATAACAGTTTTGAAATGTCAGTGATTCACCGCTAAGGGGCAATCTCTGTGAACTTAAACCAGTGTCGGTGTTTTTTTTGTTAAATTAAAAAAAAAATTTTTTTTTAAAAGTACTAAAATGAATATTAAAGGGGTCATATGATGTTGCTAAAAAGAACATTATTTGGTGTATTGTGTTTATGCGGTTTAAGGTTAAAAAAACACATTCTTTTCCACATACTATACATTATTGTTTCTCTTCTATGCCCCGCCTTTCTGAAACGTGTCGATTTTTACAAAGCTCATCGGTCTGAAAAGCGAGGTGTGCTGTGATTAGCCAGCTATCCAGTGTGTTATGATTGGCCGAATACCTCAAGCGTGTGACGGAAATGTTACGCCCCTTAACACACTGTGATGCCCTGTCCGGCCGGAGCAACGATTCAAAAACATGAAAACCCATTATAAACGAGGCATTCGTTGCATCCAGTGGGAACAGAATTATGGATTATAATGACTTATACTGTCTTTTTACGCACCGCGTAAACATAAAACCATGTCTGCATTTGTGATCGGAGAAATGACAAACAACAAGCCCTACTCTACACTGCCCAAAACTCGCGTTTGAATCATCAGTGGCAAAAAAAATAAATAAAAATAAAAAATTAAGTCAGAACAGCCGGCATTGTAGTCTACTCTCCCAGGATCGGGAAACGTCCTCCATAAAATGTGCTGGACACAGCTGAATATTTGGGTTGAAGTGTTCTGGAACAGTGTTGTAAATACAACTTAACCACTGATTTCTAGTCGTGTCCATTTTTGAAAGGGCAAACAAAGTAGTTTCGCTTTCACGTTCGACTTGAGAATGGCGCCCTCTTTGGATTTGAGACTTTAGTCTTTGCAACTTTACAGATCTTCTTTATGCACCAAGAGCTTGTAACACTTCAAAGAGAAAGGAAAAATTGAAATCGCATCATATGACCCCTTTGAAATACACAAAGCAACTTTTTAGTACATATATGCATTAAGCCATATCATGATTTGTGTTTTTCCATGCTCAAATTTAAGACCTCTTAAGATAAGACTACGTAGAATCTATTTAAGACAATTGACTTAATATGGTCTCAATATCTTCAATTCGGTTTTGAATTGATTTTAAGAAACCATGGAAGCCCTGTTTGAAGGACAGAAGGCTTTTCCACTTCAAACATTCAAAGGTCAAGCTCTCGGAGTAGAGAGAGAGAGAAAAAAAAAATTCTAAAACTGACAGAACATCAACGTACGTGTACATGGAGAGACTGGAGTCATAGGTGGACTTCACCCCATAGGTCTCCTCATTGAAGCGGAACATCTCGCTGGCATCCCAGCCATTAGACTGAAAGACAGAAAATGGCATGTAAAAAGCTTCAAGCATGTGCAACCTAAAGAAATGATTCCTAAAAAAAAACAAAAAAACAAAACAAATAAGTGATCACATGATTGGATATACAAGCATGCTGGTGGAACTCACTGTATCTGCATCTAGGTCAAAATTTTCTCCGTTGCTATCGCCACCATCCCATCTTTGAAGGACCTTCTCTCGGTGGTCACCATTTATTCTTGAACCAATTGCAGAGTCTGTAAAAGTGTCTGAAAACATGCACACAAAGCCTTACATCAGTGTTAATTTTGATTACTTAGATTATTTCATTTTTTATTTAGTGTTTAAGACTATTAAGCATTTTCATCTCAAGAGTGTCACATTTTAGTCATTCGAGTCTTTTTTTTAGTCGACAAAGTCATTGCATTTGTCAACTTTTAGTCAAACTGCAGTTACCAACATTTATTTTGGTAGCTATTTGGTAGCTACTTCAAACAAAATAGTCATTAATTCTTCTCCCTTTAGACCAAATCAATTAAGCTTATGAGAAATTTGAATCAAGGATTGCATTTGGACAAACTTGAATAAATGATGACCATTTTCATTTTTGGGTGAGCTATCCCTTTAACAGTAGTGAAAAGGGAGCAACTTATAAAAATTATAGTTGTTCATAGGGCTGGGTATCGTTCAATTTTGATATCGATACCGGTTCCTGAACGATACTTTTTTCGATACCAATTTTATGAAATCAATTTGAACAAGATTACATTATCTAAAAAAAAAAAAAAAAGCGTGTTGATGTTTATACAGACTCAAAGACTCATCTCCTGAGCCACTGCACAAAGGAACAAAATGTAACCAACACAATAAATCAGTGCAAAATAGTTTTAATAATGCTCAAATAGTCTTCCGTTTACACATCTGTTAGGCTATATTTACACTAGTTAGTGTTCGTGTTAAAATGCATAGCTCAGACAGAATCGTGGCCACATAACCACCTCTGGGAGTGCATTATTTCTCTAATAAATTTTAACGGCCTGGAGTCCCAACCACACATCAACACATTGTTCAGATCATTTGTTTCAAGACATTTGACATGTTTCCGTCCTGAAATCTCGTGTGGCTGGAACTAATTTTTTTACGCACCTCATCCCAAACCTTCTGTTGCAAATTCCAAAACGTCATTCTAGAGCTGATAACAGAGGCTTGAGCCATTGATATGTAGGTTTAAGCAGTTATTAATGCAGTCTAATGCGGTTATTAGAGAGAGGGAGAGATTAAGTGCGTCGTTTTTTACCCTATTGTTTGTTATATTTATTTGCTCAATGTCTTGAGCAATGCGTAAATCCGGCCCTGTTAGACGGCTATCGGAAGTTATTACAAGCGTAAAAGCGGAATATAAATCTAATTTATTGTCTTATGTAGCATGATGCTACAGTTTGCATGAATGGTCACATAACACGCGCTTACGGTCGTGTAACGTTAGTATGAACAGACATCTGCATATGATCGGAACTCCACACAGCTCCCGCGCTACTCTATACTGAGGGTATTACAGTACCACGAGAGCAGACTGCTCCGTGCACTTTCGAATCGCTCTCGCGGATGATCGATCTGCACCGCGCCTATAGTCGAACACACCGGCAAGTGCCGCAGGCTTATTGGCTCACTGTCGCGGATGAGATTAACCCCTTAGATATTGAAATTTGGTACCGAACGACAAGACGGTTTTTGATACTCGATGGTATCAAGGCAATTCGGTTGGTGCCTAAGAAGTATCGAACTCGATACCCAGCCCTAGTTGTTCATATATAATATATATAATTTTTTGAAAAATAAGCAGAATAAGACAAGACAAATATGAAAGAGATACAAATTAAACTCATTTTTCAGATACAGTAGGTTTACTTGACATTTATTTAACATCTTTTGCTGGTTAACATTAATGACACGGATAGGTACTTAATTAGGAATGCTGTCTCTTTAAGACGGAAGGCATGCATGTAATACTGACACACGTTCAGTTTTCACCCACCCGTTTACTTTCATTTAATCCACAACCGACTGTATTCACGTGAGATACTCTACACGATCAACATTTGGACTGCTGTGTGTGTGTATTTGAGCACTGAGAACTGATCGCGCGCTGTATATGAGAACTGAAGAAGTGGAGCATGTGCAAGAGAGAGCACTTCTATCAGCGCGATTCCGCCTATCCTGCCTTCACTAACTTTAAATTAAATCGACAACGAATTGTGACTCCCGGGAAAAACGGGACATCTGTTCACTTTATTCCTACCCCTTCGGGTGCTGAGGCCATTGTTTCAGATCGCTAGTTCATGTTTTGGTAGCCAATCCATCCACTGCGGCTGCCATACTGAGACTAGATATGCAAACACCCCTCATCCGATTGCAATCCAATGACAGGGACGCACATTTTGAAGGACAAGACAGTAGCCTATAGGATGTATTTTGAAAGTCCGGTAGTCCTCAAATAACATTATAGTCCCGCCTCGTCTTGTTAACAAAGACGCGGCATAAATTTCATCAGTTTTTATCATCAGATATTGGTTTTAGCTAGTCAACGTCTCGTCTTAGTCACAGAAAAAAAAATTTCATTAACGAATATTTTTCGTCGTTGTCTTCGTTGACGAAATTAACACTGCCTTACATTTCCATAATTAAAAACACTACACATGTATACTACTTCTACAGAGTCATATACACACCTCTGGTAGCGTAGTTGAGGTCCACATCTCTGCAGATCATAGTGACCAGGTCATTAGGGCCAAAGATCATGGTGTCCGTGATCTCTTCTCTCCTGGGATGGACTGGTGTGCCTCCACCACCGCCTCCATCTCCTTCTTCATTTTTCACTTTGTGCACTGCGTCCACTGCCAGCTCACACTAAAACCATAGATACTGAGTGAGACTTGATCATACGTTAAACTTCACGAGATAGGCCACAAAAAATAAACTAAATATATAAAATAAATAAATATAAATTAGTCAATATCAAAGATAAAATATGGATTGGATAAATCTGAACTGGGTCCTGTGTGAACAAAGCCCATGATTCATAGTTAAGCAAATTAAATGCAGATGTGTTTTGTCAGTAGATTTGCAATGACTGACTTACACGTGAGCTTAACGTCTTGAAGATTCCCTCATATATACTGCCGTTCTTCACCATAACGTCACATCTGGAGCCCTGTGGAAAAGATTGCATACGTGTCAAGTATTTTATTGCTTAATGCTGAAAACAAATTAGAGAAGATGGTGTGAATCACATAAAACCAAAACAACTAAAAATCAAGAATTTTTATTTTAATTCACCCTCCCCCCTTTTTTCCTTTGTCAAAACAGGGTTACCACAGTCTAGACAAGCTAGGAGATATGAGGTGGCCTAATTTTAAAAGCATGATTTCTATACCTGTAAAAGTCATCTAAATTAATAAAATGCCAGCAAAACTTGTCATGGGCTTTTTATAAAAAAAACAAAAATATTAAAATGATTTTCTTATTATTATGCCAAGCTCTAAAGCACTTTATCAGGAAGAAATTGGCTGGTTTCAACAGCCATCAATTAAACAGAAATGTGAACAAATTATTTCATGCCAAAACTCACCACCACGGCTGTGAGAAAATGGAGCATCCGTGAGTTGTTGTACACACCCTCAAACACCTAAAAAAAATTAATTAAAACATTTTTTTTTTTTAAGTACATACAAATATCTTTAAGCATTTGGTGGTCCGAAAATGCAGTAAAATACTTAAGAGGATACTAAGACATCTAATAATCCTAAACTGGAAAATCAAGAGTCTAAAAAGTACAAGCTTTTACGTACAGGTGGTGACTGTGAGGGAGTCTTCACAGAGTTTCTGTTTCTTCATGGAAAAAAGGAAAAGAAAACAATCATTGGTCAAAGATAATTTACATAACGCACGCGTGAGTGTGTGTGTGTGTGTGTGTGTATTGCATCATGCAAATCAAGAGGAACGCAAAAGACGAACAATCATACCAATAACAGATTTCTGTATATTAAGAATGTCTTGTATTCATGAGTTATATCAAATACGTGGACAAATGTGCTGTGTCTGCGTGCATCTAACTAGAAAGTGAAACACAGCCCCGGTGTTACAGGCATTGCTCTACTGTTACATGTGTGGACAACACTTACAACATCGCGAAGCGCGTGGTAAAACAAAAGGACAATTATACACGAGTAACAAAATAACGATCGGACTGAATCTGATTGCGCATCATGACAAAATATTATTTTGCAATGTCAATATGTAAACAAAAGCAACCAAGCGCGTGTTTTAGTTGCGACAGACCGCAAAGCGGGTTATCGGAGCTGGCTAACAACACAGGCAAACGCCGTATCGAAGACAAACAGCTTGACATTAACGTGCGCAAACGTACACATCTCGCGCCCCTCGCTACAATCAATCAAATCGATTAGGAAATACGAATGTTTGTACTTTTTTGTCACATGCATCCCGGCTCTTCTTTGAAGGCGTCTGTCTAAAATAGCTCAAGTTGAAAGTCGAGCACAATACTGAATCATATGGGATCGAAAAACAACAACAAAACACTGCTGATGACCCGCCTCCGAGAGCAGTCATAAGCTGGAAGAGATGGCAATCAATTAAAATCTCAATTCTATTGGTTGACAATATTATTTCTGGGCGGATGTGTACCGATTGCGACAATGTCCTCCATTATTGGCCCAAAATCGTGTCATTCAAAACATTCTTCGCAGCGATTGGCTAGTGCTCCTGCTAATTTAACAAGGCTCGAAACAATTGGTGTTCTAGGGAGTAGATCAAGTATGCGCCGAGGACACGCCCACTTTGACCGGTAGGCCTCGTGTTAAAATGCCAGTCCTCGGACTTTCTGAGCGGGGCAGCCCAACTTGTGCCTTACCTTCCCGCGGTGGGTCTGTTAGAGTTGCTCCCCGGAACTGATGAAGCCATTGACCCTGTAGTTCCATTGGATGTTTTGCGGCCGCCGGGTCCAGGTTGCTGTCAGAAAGCACAACGATTCTTAAATGCTGACACAAATTAAGCTTTGGACAAATTTACGTAACGTTCTATTCAAGAGTCTAGCCGAGTGGTGAAGGCTAGCAGGTTTACTAGCACGTTACGTTAAACAAAAAACGTGGAAGCTTAATGGAGAACGACAATATTCGGACCATAATATCCATTATGAGTTTTAATATTCTCGATTGTATGATTTGTGAAAAATTAAGTGCAATTTTTAGTCGCGGTACTCACGTTCTGTCGGCGAAAAGACATAACTAGCCGCTAACTGGGTTGCCCGCTAAATTCCCCTTGTTGCCTATGACAAGCTAGGAGGTGGACTAGCCGGCCTGCGGTGTTATTTTTCTAGTTTTTCCGCAGCGTTCTCCGATCCGCACGAGCGCGATCTCCGTTATAACCCGAGGTCCAGTTCAGTACGATATTCTGTCACGAACAGAACACGAAGAGATAACGAGCCTTACGCTTCTATTAAATATTACCGGCACCACGTCTCGCGAATTAGCCAGCGACAAACGCGAAGGCAGTTTTTTCAAACACCCTCGATTGCCATTGGACGACGGCGTAGAACGTATTGATGACGCAATGGCGTACAAGCGCCGTATCACGTCGACAGCCGCACGTTACGCGTGCTTTGCAAGAGTCGTCCATTCTTATAAGAAATGTGCAATAAAATCACATTTCTAATTTCATTATCTATCTGTCATCCTGGATTGCATGAAGAATAGGACGCAGGAGAAGAAATGCTATGTTTATCTAAAGTAATTTTGCTTAATCGTATACTATATCTATCACACAAACACAACTCAGACAAATTGTTTCAGTATAATTATATTATATCATATCATATCATCATCATCATTTAATTCAATGTAGTACCTGAAACTCTAATTACACAGAGTGGGCAACATTGTCCACCTTAACACACGGTCCCAGCACAGACAGACAGAGAGAGAAGAGAAAAGAGAGAGAAGGCACAATAAGAGGTTTAAATAAAGGGTAAAAGGGAGGAGCAAGGGGCAAATGGAGAGAAAACAAATACCAAATGATCTGTAGGATCAAGAGGAGAACAACTGAAAAGGCTGAGACAGAACTGGAGAAACAAAACAGGAAAATACTGATGCAGACACTGAACTTGATGGCAGACACTGCAAAAAGACTGATCGAGGCACAAAATCAAGAACGACTGGCACAAAACGAGAGGGAATGACAGTTAACAACACAAAAAGGCACAAGAAGAAAGGGGCTCTTTATCTTTTTTTTCCTTTTCAAAAGTTTTCCTGAAATCTGGAAACTAAAGCAAAGTTTGAAGGAGACAGAGTGAGATTAGAAGAGATATAAAAGGCACAAAAAAATTTAAACAGAAAACAGATTTTGGGGAACAAATATTATGTTCATATAGTAAACAACAAAAATAAAGGCATTTTGAAACAAACAAACAAATAGTACTATTATTTGGACAATTATTCAATTCTAATTATTATTATTATCATCATCAGTCATTATCATTTTCATATTTCATCAATAACAATTTCTCTTTTAAACCAAAGGACATTCTCTCTCCCTCCTCTGGACTCTAGCTTTGAAATAAACACAACAATAAACCCAAAGTCTGTAAAGCTAAAAGGAAGGGTAGGATGTAAAGACAGAGAGGGAGAGCAGAGGAGCTGGGCGACAGATCAGGACTCTGAGGTAATAATGGAGTCTATGGAGATGTTTAACACGATAATTAACCTTAAGAAGTAATACTACTGGACTTCAGAGGACTGGGCTTGCTTGTTTTTGGCCAAACTGGACATTGTTAAGCCCGAGGCAATGCCTGCTACTGAACTAGCAAAATCAGTACAACTGAAATGAACAGGATAAAAAGTTATTACTTTGTGACATTCGCAGTTTGTCAGTGGCAGAACAAAAAGTAAACAACTCAAAAAGCTCCAATAATAATAATAATAACAACAACAACAACAAGAGTGCTGGTGGGTAACAATCTCTGAACTGAAGTGAAAATTTCCGCTCACCTGACAGGAAAAGTAAATTCCTTTCGTATAAGTGCGAAGGCTCAAAGAATACTAGACATCTGAATAATCAATAAGTGAGTCCGACACTGTATTGACTTGAAGGACTCCTCAAGAAATAAGTTGCTAAAACACGACACCAGCTCAGTGGCGGAGCTGACACTTTTGTAATTTCCTATGCAGCAGCAGAGGAACTTTCGCACTGGAGAACAAATTAGTAAAAGCTGACCAATGTTTTCACAACGCACCTACAATTTAGTGTTGTACCGTTACTTAGTATTTTTAAAAAAATGTACCGTCAGTATCATATATGCTTATGTGTTTGGGCGTCTCTCTCTCTTTCTCTCCATCTCTCTCTCGCACCGTGAAAACTCATGTTTAATAGTGTTAATAACTCGATCTCTCAGTTCTTCAGCTGGAGAATACTGAAAATACTGATTGTGAAGGGCTCTCCTCTTCCACCTCGTTGTTTTCCCCGTTTTAGAAGAAAGAGTACTGGTTGTCGATGGCTCTCGCTCTCCCTCCTTCTCTCTCCTCGCCCTCCACCCCTTCCAGCTGGAGGAGAGGTGGCTCGCGCTCCCGTTCCTCGCACTCCTCCGCCCCGCTGCTTGCTCCGCCTCCTCCAGCGGCCTCCGTCTCGCTCCCTCGTTCCTGCGGCGGGGTTGGGGGCGGAGGGCGTCCCGGAGGCAGAGGGGGAGGAGGTGGCTGAGGAGGACTACGGGGTCTGCTGGTCAAGTCTGAGAACAGCAACAGAGAGGAGAACCAGTAGAGGAGGAGAGAGGGGTGAGAATTAAATGTGTACAAGAGTAATGACAATAAGATGCAAAGTTTGAGGAGAAAACCTCAGCTATGACACATGCTAGTAACGGAATCGGTCAACACATTGAACACACCCTGGTCCCTGCGCCACTAAACAGCCGTAAAGAGTCATCGATTGATTGCATTGGGACTCATTGAAACATCTTGAATCACGTTTATATTGAGACAGAGCTCGCTGTCTACAAATGCGTGACATTTCATAAAAATTACGATTAACGCAAGCTATAGTGACCACATGTTAAATGAATGCGTTACCCTGCGACACACATTTCAGGATGGATGTGTGCAACTGAAACCCAGCTGTGAATGAGGAAGTTAAGCAGACAGATGTGCACTGAAGTGAACGGATGACCTGTCGCTACTCTTTTTCTGTCTTATTCTGACAAGCTTCCTCACAATCCTGAAAAAAATGTTTCCCGCATTTTACTCTTTCATCTACTATAAAAATTGACCCTTTTTACATTCTTAATACAGTTTCCTCATCTTATTATGCAAATGTAAAAAAAACGGAATGTTTTTATATTTGCCTAATTTGGGAAAATGTATCTCTGTACACTGGAAACGACTGATTTGCGTGATGACACCCACTTTGATGATTCAGTCCAGTCCCACCCCGCACTTTCCTCATTAAATATATTCCTTCACTAAGAAATGGACTACTATTTAAAAGTTTAGGGTCTGTACATTTTTTGTTGTTGTTTTAAAGAAATTAATAGTTTCAACTAGACATTAAATAAAAGGTATAAAATTGCATTAAAAGATTTTAAATATATGCCGTTCTTATGAACTTTCTATTCATCAAACAAATTAAAAGTTTCCCGAAAATATGAAGCAGCACAGATGTTTTCAACATGCTGAAATGCAGCAGCTAGGATGCTGACAGGCACTCGAAAACGAGAGCACATCACACCAGTTCTATTTTCCCTTCACTGGCTGCCAGTACATTTCCAAATAGAACTCAAGCTTTTATTGTTTGTTTTTAAATCATTAAATGGTTTGGCACCTCCTTACCTCGCAGACCTTCTTAAACGACACACGCCTTCTAGATCCTTTAGGTCCTCTGATCAGCTGCTTCTAACTGTTCCTAGGTCTAGATTAAAACTTAGGGGTGATCGTGCCTTTTCGGTAGCTGCACGTAGACTGTGGAATCTTTTACCCCTGTATGTTAGAGCAGCTCCAACTATATTTACATTTAAAACCCGGTTAAAAATGCATTTATTATCTCAGGCTTTTAATTCTACTGGGTATTGAGGGGTGTCATTTAATTTTTAGTGTTTAAATTTATCTTTGTATGTTCTTGGTTTTATTTGCTTTACTTTGTTTGTACAGCACATTGGGCAACAATAGTTGTATAAATGTGTGCTTTAAAAGTGAAATAAACAGAAACAGAAACAAACAGATGTTTTCAACATGATGATAAGAATAAAATGTTTCTTGAGCAGCAAATCAGCATATTACACTAGTCAACATTTGAAGTGGAACAAAATCTTTCATCAAAGTTGTCCTAAAACCAAAATGCGTTCTTGTCTTAAGACAACTTTGATCAACTTTTTTGATAGACTTCAAATGTTGACAACTGTAGAATGATTTCTGAAGGATCATGTGACACTGAAGAATATTATAGTAATGATGCTGAAAATTTAGCTTTGCCATCAGAGAATTAAATTACATTTGAAAATATATTAAAATAGAAAACAGTTGTTTTAAATTGTAATATTTCACAATATCAAATAAAAGCAGCCTTGGTAAGTATAAGACTTGCTGACCCCAACATTTTGAACAGTAGTGTCATTTTATGAAAGTGAAATGGGCTGCAACTGCTTAAGGTTCGATAATTTAGTTTCACATGACCATTTCCCTTCTTTATCTGACTCAAGCTGTTTTTGGTGCTGTACCTTTAATATTTTTATTATACCCCCAATATTTTTAATATACCCCCCATGTACCAGCATGATTTTATTTCCTTCTTTCAGACCTTCTCTGTCTATCTCTCTCTGTTGAATCTGGTCTCACTTACACACAGTCAGAGATGGGGGTTGATGGAGAGTCGGGGTGGCGCGTGGTGATGACATCACAGACTGTGGGGCGGCTGCCTGCCCTTTCCCGGCCTGCGAAGATGACCCAACGACAAACAACAACAGAAACAGCCAATCAGAGCTCGGATATGCACAATGGAGAAAGCCAGAGGCTGAAGCGGGATGAGTGGAGGGAGAGGAGCAGAGATACGGTAGGAATTAGTATGTGACCGGAGATCAAAATGGTGATGGAAAGAACATAGATTCATGTTAGAAAAAAGAATGGAAGGGAGTAGAAGAAGAATAGGAGAAAAGATGCACTGAAAGATAAGTGTAGATTTAGTGTCTAGGAGACAGAAAGTGTTGAAAAGGAGATACAGGATGGAGGACATGAGGAGGAAATAGTAGGTAAGGTGAGGAGTTTAGTGGGGTAATATGTCAGGTCAAGCACAGAAAAATTTAATCAAGACACAATCACTGTCAAAAAGCAAAGCCATGCACAGCCAGCCCATGGCAGACTCTGGCAGCAGCAATGGATCTGTGTGTGCTCGAGTAGTCGTAGCAGATGCTTGCACAAAGTGTCCTTTAAAAAGCATGCCGTGACAGGAAGTGATCTCACACATGGGGTGATCCCACATTTAGTCATATCCCTGTGACAGGTGCGAACAACTCATGCAGTGGCCATGTTG